GGCTAGCTGCAGAGATGAGCAAGTGGGTTCATCCAAGGTAGCAGGAGGGAGGGTAAAAATGAGGCCCAGACCCAGCGATTGGGTAGAGGAAGCACTGAGACTGCAGAAGTTCTCTTTTGATTGGGTCTGTCAGTAAAGTAGGAAGTAAGGTCATCAGCTGCGAGGGGGAGGAGCTGTCAGGAATTGAGGACAGAGGAGAAGGTAAGCAATTGTCTACAGGACTGTGAAAGAGTGAAAGGACTAGATCATGTGGCAGGATCGCCAGCCAGTGCCCTGAAGGATGGTGGGGGTGATGTTAAAGTGAGACCAGTCAGCAGGGCTGTATGTCTTTCTCCAGCTTCAGTCAACTGTGTGGGTGCAAGTGCTGAGTTGGATTAACCAGGGTGTGGTTTTGCCAGGTGGACACAATTTCACTAGAGAAGAGCAAGGAGTTGAGGGTTTATGCAAGGAAGTAATTATAGTGATGGTCCATGGACTCTCAGCTGATGAAGGAAGAAAGTCAGGACAAGAGGGAGGCCAGGAACAGTGGGGGGAAAGGTGGGAGGATCAATAGATTGGAGGTTCTGGTGGGTGAGGAAACCATTGGAATCAGGGTTCTAGAGAGAGTGAGCAGGAAAGACAGGAGGCGGTATTAGGAGCATGGAATACTTAATATTGAAATTGTGCAGGGTAGGGGCGAAATTACTGGTGATGACAAGGTCCAGGAAATTACCTTGGCCCTCAGGGGCTGAGGCAGGGTGGAGGACAAGAACAATAGTAGCAGGAGATAGGTGATTCACCATGGGGAAGGATCATTTGTGTGTAGTTGAACAAACCAAGTCATTCTCAGAGGCAAGGCCCTGGGTAGGGCATGGGCTGGGGATTCAGGCCCTCTCTCCAAATGTGGGACCCTGGACAAATGAATTAGCTTCTCAGAGCCTGTTTCCTCTCATGCAAAGTGAGAGATCACTTCTGTGTTAGAAGATCACGTTCTAAAAATTGGACGAGAAACTGTGGGGAAAGTGGCTAGTGTAGTTCCAGGCTCAGGGTGCTCAGTAATGTGACCTGATCCCAGAATGTTCTTGTCTGGAGTCCCAGAGCTGAGGAGGGGACAATGTAGAGACCAAGACTCTCCCAAGGAAACTTTTTCCCTTCCCACCACCTCAAACCATACAAGGTAGGACTGGAACAGCCTAATTCCTATTTCACTCCCATGTTACAGAATAGGAAACTGAGGTCCAGATAGGGAAAATGACTTACCTATGTCACTAAGACTCAATTATCATAGAGAATAAGTTCCCTTTTAAAATTGATCGAAGTCAGAATTAAGTTGGGAAATTTGTACAGGGAGGAAAGGCTCATATATAACATTTGAAAGCCAGTTGGACTTTTGGATGTACCCCAGCCATCGTTCCCCTCCATTCACTGGGACAATTAAAAGTTGGTTTTGGTGGGGCCGGCCGAGTGGCACGATGGTTAAGAACTGGCTTGGGATGCCAGAGGGCCCCGGTTCGGATCCCACATATGAGGGCCAGTGACACTGCCCTCCACAGCTAAGATGCTGAACAACAGCTCGACCTGGAGCTGGGCTGCTGAGAGTCGCCGGCGACGGGGTAGGCTGCAGCCCCTGTGGCAGTGGGTTGCCATGGGCTACCGTGTGTAGCCAGCAGCCAGCGTGAGCAGCCAGCAGCCAGCGTGAGCGGCCATCCAGAAGCCAGCGACTGATCTGCCTCGCCCGGGAAGAATGCAATGATGGTGCCAACTTGGGCCAGTGAAGCAACGTCCTCCACAACTAGACTGAAGAACAAAACGACAGCAACTTGTCTGTTCCCCTTCCCTGATTCCCCAGCACTGTTCCCATCCCCCCAATTCCCCAATAAAAATCTTAAAAAAAAAAAAAGTTGGTTTTGGTGAAAATAAAACACTCTACTGAGTACACCCCAGCTCTCTCTCATCTTCTCTCTTCTCTTCCCAAGTCACCCCCAGCCCCATCACAGTGATGTTCAGGTCCTGTGATTGGGCAAACACTGAGCCAATTAGCTTGGGAATAGAAGTGTCTACAGAAGGGTGATTCACAGTGCATGAATTTGCTAATTGCTCTTCCTAGCCCAGATGGAAGGAAGGAGAGAGGAAAAGAGATCTCTGTTTCCTTCCTAAGAGAATTTGATTCAAGTGTGTGGAGTGGGCACAGCACCAGGCCACCCCCACAAGTCCCTGCCCCTGTGTACTTCCAGCCATAGCCAGTCTCCCTGGGGCAAATCCCTCCTGTTTACTGGACCCCCATTTTCCCACCTAAAAAGCACAAAGACAGTAGACAAAATGATTGTCAAAAGACTTCAGAGGGCCGGCCAAGTGGCACGTTGGTTAAGAGCTGTCTTGGGACGCCAGAGGACCCCGGTTCGGATCCCACATATGAGGGTCAGTGACACTGCCCTCTACAGCTAAGATGCTGAACAACAGCTCAACCTGGAGCTGGGCTGCCATGAGTTGCGGTTGACCGCGTAGGCTGCAGCCCCTGCTGCAGTAGGTTGCCATGGGCTACCGTGTGTGGCCGGCAGCCAGCAGCTGCTGTGAGTGGCCGTCCAGAGCCAGCGACTGATCTGCCTCGCCGGGGAAGAGCCCAACTTGGGCCAGTGAAGCAATGTCCTCCACAGCCAGACTGAAGAACAAAAGGACAGCAGCTTGTCTGTTTCCCTTCTCCAATTCCCCAGCGCTGTTCCCATCCCCCAATTCCCCAATAAAAATCTAAAAAAAAAAAAAGACTTCAGAGCTTGGGCCTTTGGGGTTCTAGGAATGTGTGGCTTAGCGCCTGCTCTGCTGCCCTGATTGCCTAGGAACAAGCATGGGGAGATAGGGCAGAAGTGGATCCAGCAGATGCAATGGAAAAGTCACTTCGTTAGGAAGACTTTCCATGATTACACCATCTAATGATGGACATCGATCTCTCCAGTTGTCTCTCATTTTCACTATATCTCACTTTTTCACACTCACACACATGGTTGCTCTCTCTCTCTCCTATTACCATGTTTTATTTTCTTCTTAGCCCTATCTGAAATGTCTTAAATATTTGTTTACTTGACTACTGTCTTTCTACACTAGAATCTAGAAGGGCAGGAACCTTGCCTATCATAACTCAGGGCCTAGCTCAGCACCTGACACATAGCAAGTGCTTAGTATATACATGTATGTGTTGGTTGATGAATGAATGAATGAATGAATGAATGAATGAATGAATGAATCTTGTGGGTGGTACCAGAGCTGTGCCAAGCATGACTGTGATCTGTACCAGGTCTTCCATGAGGAGCAGTTGAAAAATAGGGCACTGGAGTCAGGAGATTTGGATTTAAGTCCCACACTGCCAATTAGTGGTTGTATGACCTTAGGCATTCCACTTGACCTCTCTAGACCTTGGTTTCTTTATCTGTAAATTGAGGATAATGATCCCACATCTTGAGGTGTATATTTAATTTGTAAAGCGATCTGGTGCATAGCAAGTATTCAGTAAATGTTAGCTTTTCTTCCTCTGCTAGGGCATGGAGGTGATGGGTCAAGAGTTTGGAGATTCTGGGCTCAGCCAAAGGAGGTTTCTTATCTATTTCTATCTTTCAAGAGATGGTAAAACAAATAGCAAGCAACTTTGCTAATGCTGCATGTGGCTTGCTCAAAGTCACACAGCCAAGCAGTGGAGAAAGCAGCAGCTGCCCTCCCTGAGGCATAGAGGAAGCCCCTGATTCCAGACAAGATGGAGGGAGGGGACAAGGGCAGGATCTTGCTTGGGCTGCTGGGCCTCCAGAAAGAGGAAGTGGCTGCTCTAGTCTGAGAGTCAGGACGCTGGGTTCTAGTCCTAGGTATGTCAGAGGCAAGCTGGTGCCCTTGGAATGTAGTGTAGAGAAGGCTGAGGAGAGGCTGGCATGAAAGATTTCTACCAGCCACCCAGGAAGCCCCTGCCAGACATAGCTGCAGATGGTCCTGAGATGCTGGGTCAGAAACACCAACCAACTTCCCTCCATCCTCCAGTCCCTCAAAGGCCCTGCGTCTGCACAAGTGTAGTGGAAAGGGCATATATGCCCACAAATTCCATAGCCCAGGGCCCGACTTGCTCGCTGTGTGACTCTGGGGGAGTTACATCCCCTCTCTGAGCAGGTTTCCCCTCCTCTGAACATGAACATTAAGGCTGGCCAGGCTGTGGCTGGCAAAGACCAATAAGAGAGTGCTTTAAAGGCCAGCCGAGTGGTTCCGTTGGTTAAGAGCGCAAGCTCTGAGTAACAGGATCGCTGGTTCGATTCCCACATGGGCCAGTGAGCTGCGCCAGAGCTGAGCTGCTGCTGAGCTGCCAACAGGTGGCAGGATGGCTCGGCTGGTGAGAGTAAGTGCTCCTAACAACACGATTGCTGACTAGACTCCCGCATGGGATGGTGGGCTGTGCCCACCAGCAACTAAGATTGAACACAGCATCTTGAGCTGAGCAGCAGTAAGCTGCCAACGGGCCGCTGGATGGCGACTGGACTTGGAGCTGAGCTAGCTGTGCCCTTCACAACTAAGATTAAAGGACATCAACTTGGCTATTCCCCTTCCCCAATTCCCCAATAAAATCTAAAAAAAAAAAAAGTTCATTAAAGAATCCCTACCTTGGTATACTTTGAGTGTGTTTCTTTTCTTGGACTCTGGAAGATTGCGGAAAGCAGGAGGAGCACTGTGTGGAGTTGAACAAGTAGAGCAATCTCTCTGGGTCTCTGAAAATAGTAGATGACCAGGACCAGGTCAGGTGATTTCTAAATTCCTTCCAGAGCCAAAAACAAACAGCCAAATCAAAAAACAAAAACACTGGATTTTCTTCGTGGTCCGATTCTGCTACAAACCCCACTGGTCACTTCCCTCCCTTTGGCCCCTTAAGTCCAGGCCCGCCCTGGCCAATCACCGTGAGCAGAAGTTCTTTAAGGACCAAAGGAGGGAATTCAGCCCGAGGAGGGCGGGGCAAGGGTGTGCTTTCTAGCCAATAGGAATCTCCCTGGAGACTAAGTTCCCGCTGTGTGACAGCTTTCGGAACCAATGGGCATGTCGCCCGCTGCCTATAAGAGTCGGCTGGGCCCCGGGCGACAAGCTTTAGGGTCGGTCGGTTGACTCCTTCGTAGGTGTACCCTGGGTTTGCCTCGCCGTACCTGCCGTCCGGTCCCTGCAGCCGCTCCCCGCGCCTTGGCTTCGGCCCAGCCGCTCTCCCTGCCCCCCTCCCCTGAACCACCCCCCGGTTTCTGCCGTCGGGGCCCCGGGGCCGGGCTGATGATGCCGTCCGAAAGCGGAGATGAGAGTCCGGACCATGCAGCTGCGCAGGTGGGGACGGCTGCGGCCTCAGAGGTGGCCACGGCCGCCCAGACAGGCGACAGCCCGGATCCAGAGGCCTCAACAGCCTCCCTCGGACGGCACCTGAGTGGGCTGGGCTGGCCACAGGTGAAGCGACTGGACGCGCTCCTGAGGGAGCCGATTCCCATTCACGGACGCGGCAACTTCCCTACGCTGAGTGTGCAGCCCCGGCAGATCGTGCAGGTGAGAGGACTCTGGGTGGGGTGTCTGGGGTCTATCCTGAGGCTCTCGTGGCTGGAAGGCACTTAGAGTCTGTTTGATTCCCCGGACAGCTAGGGGAAATAAGGCTCAGAGAGGGACAGGGGCTGTAACAAAACCGCACACAATACCCCTTTTCCCCTGCACCTTATAGTCCTTCCCCACTTAGCTTTCCCGTCCCCTGCCCCTGGGGAGCCGCAATTCCCTTCGGACCTTTCACCCAAGCCCTGGCTTGGAGAGGGGAGGAGAATAAGAAGAGACCCAGCCGCCAGGGAAGAAAGGTCCCGGCTGCAAGGACAAGAGATGCCAGGTAGCTCGCAGGACAGGCGGGCAGGGTGAGGGGTTGTAGGTGTGCATGCTAGGGTCCAAAATAGTTCTTTTCATCCCCAAATCGTCATTCCTGGGCCTCACTCTCACCCCTTCCCTCTCTCAAGGTTCTGGGGGCAGAATGTCCTGTGCCCCAGACAGCCCTTGGCACAGGAGCCCCCTAGCTAGATGTAGATGGAAAATCCTGACTAGGACTCCCTCCCTCAGTTGAAGTTGTAGCAGATTAAGCACCAGACCAGACATGATGCCCGCAGGCTGGAAGGCAACCTCAGGTGTCCAGTTTAGGTGTTTCTCCCTGTCCCCAGGATTGGAAATGAAGTTAGGCCCAGCTCCCAAACCCCATCTCTGTCCTGAGGAGTGGGAGAATAGAATTCTGGCAACCCCTGTCTTCCTCAGACTCCCCCTTTCCTTAACCTGAAACACTGAAATTGCTCTTTCATCTGTATAGCCCAGGCGCTTTCATGCTCTGAAATGCCAGAATATAGCAATTGTACCTATTTTATAGCTGGGGAAGCTGAGGCCCCAAGAGGGGCAGTGAGATACCTAAGATTACCTAAAGAGGTGAAAATCAAACCCAGAGAATCTTGGGTCTTCCCAGGAGTGGCTGCCACAGGATCAGGGTGTATGAACCCTTTCCCAAGCTCCCAAGACTCAATTTCTAGGTCTTATGGGTGTCTTCTGGTAAGAAGAAACCAGAAAATAAGCTACACATTCTTGTGCATCCCTAGCAGCAGATGGACTTTCTGGAAGGCAGCCTACTAACTAGGTGAAGCAGGCGATTTCCCTGCCTCCTGCTGCCTTAGTTTTCACAGTGGGGGAGGGGTGCTCGCTGAGGGATTTACCTTGCTCTCCCTCCCAAGGAATGGGAGGGGGTGGGGGCAGATTCCCCAGGGCTGACTCATCCGAAGCCCAGTGGCGCCTCACAGAGGCATTCCGTTGTCATGGGGTAATTAGGAATCCCGTTGAGGCTTTTCTCCCCAGGGAGTCAGGTCAACCTTGGGGCCCCAACTGCTGTACCTCCAGGACTGTTGTCCCAGGCATGGGAGGAGGGATGGGAGAGCACAGTGTGGCAGCTCCCCTCTGCAAGGACAAGGGGTGCCCCGGAGGGCAAGTCCCTGCCATTGTCAGTTTGATCCTGCTGCCTGCCCTGTGCCAAGCCCTATTCAGGACACAAGGACACAGATATGACTGGGACGAAGCCTTCCAGGTCCTCCCAGACAGGTGGAGGAGACTGCAGGTCAATAGGAGCTGACTTTACAATGCAACAATAGTGGATAATAGTACAGTGTCCTCCTAGACAAGGGTCAGAGACATCACAGAACAGGGAAGCTGCCAGCTGTGGTGGTGAGGGGCAGCAGAGACTTCAGAGCTAGACTGGGAAGTTGGACATCTGGCTTCACGATCTGGATTGTTGTCTGTTCCCTCTGCTGGGCCCAGTGTCCCCATCTGTTCAATAAGGGTGGATTAGACTGTTCTATTTCTGGTACTAGAATCCAAAGAGAATAGGTGCCTTCACCTGGCCTGTACAATTGCCTCCACAGGAAAGAAAGACCAGCTCCTGGCAGGAATCTGCAGCTGGCAGCTTCACAAGCTTGTTGGGAAGTGTGTGGTGTGGGTGCTGCATTTTGACTTTGAGTTTCTCACCAGTACTGAGTTGCCCTACAGTTCAAGGATTGGAATCTTTCTTCTTCCCTCCCCCACAAGGTTTTACCTACAGCAGCAATCTGAGCAGCTAGAGATATTCTAGCTTGTACTTGGACTAGGGGGACCCACTCTTCTGTAGGAGGCCCCCTGTCCTCTAGGAGGCCTGGTTCTAATTAAGCTCGACCATTTATTGGTTCTGTGACCTTGGATAAGTCCTTTGCCGTCTCTGGCCCCAGAGGACTGAATTAGAGAAAATGATCTCTCCAGCTGCAGCTAGAGGGCCGGCATTAGGTAGCTCTGAATACAAGTTTTATAAGCCTGCTGGCTGGCAGCACCCTACAGTCTCCCTACAGGTCTCAGCAGTGGCCTGAGAGCAGAGTGGTTCTGTGGAGGGCCTTGGCACAGGAGAAAGGAGGGTGCAGCCACTGCCCCCTCCATGGCTGGGAAGTCTGATTCAGGAGGCTCTGAGCTGCCCTGCAGTCCTTGGGTGTGGCAGTATCTGGGGATTGACTGCCAAGCTGGCTGTAGTCACACCTGGGAAAGAGACAACAGCTACTGTCTGGCTGACACAGCCAACCCCATGGCCTGACGCAGGTGATTTAACAAGGGTACTGCTACCTACTCACCAGGCTAGGTGCCATGCCCTGGGATGGGCATCAGCCTGGGAGTAGGAGCTGGCACTGAATAAGACTTAGTCAGCTCTAATGGGATTTGGGGAGGGGGCTGGTCTGCTTTGCTGGTCTGGCAGGGTACTTGGGACAAGGTCTTTGGCCCATTTCTCTCCTTGGCCACAGCTGCCAGGGTGTGGGTTAGAAGTCCCAAAGGCTGGACTGCAGCAACTGGCCCCTTACCTCCAGCCTCCCCTGTCTGTCTGACAAGGGCATCCTCTAACCCCCACCTTCCTGCTCCCCAACTACTCTGGCTCTGGGCTTCAGTGACTAGAGGGTTAGCCTCACTTTGAAATTTTGAAAGGGAGGGAGGATACTGGTTTCTGCTCCTTCTGAACCGTGGGATAGTAATATGGTAGAAAGAGAATAGACAGCCTGGATTTGAAGGTACCTCTGGATGATCTTGGGCAGGTAACTTCACTCCTGTGAGCCTCAGTGTCCCCATCTATACGTTGGAGATCATAAGACCTATCCCCATAGATTCTGGTGAGAAGGTCCGGTGCCTGGCACCCAATAAGGTGCCTAACCAATATTCCTCTTCCCCTCCCCCTGGTGCTCCCTACCCCAAGTTCCCGATGGCCAGTTGCTTACCTCCCATAGCCATGACAATACCTTTCCCTAGTCCTCCTCAGAGAAGCCTTCCTGGAGGGAGCCGCCCGCCTCAGATTGCCCCACTGCAGCTTGCTTCCTCAGCACTCAGGTGCATTCTTTGCAGTAATTCCCTGGGAGGCGAGGAGGGCAGCCTGGCCAGTGCTGACTTGGCAGCAAGGTTGCAATATCACTCAGGGTAGGAATGCTGCCTGGTCTCTTTCAGGATGGTGTGTGAAGTACTGTGGGTTGCTGAGAAAATTGAGTGTCCAGCCCGGCTCCTCTCCAACTGGTCCTAGGCACAGGAAGACAGGTTCTAGAATCCAAAGGGAATAGGTGCCTTCACCTAGCCTGTATAATTGCTAGAGGAGCAGGTTCAAGATGACTTGTAGGTTTCCTTGTCATGTTCCTGTATCAGCAGATGCGATCTGCTACATCTTTTTCCACTTGGTTTGGGAGGTTTCCTGAGATCTTGACCCATCCCCTCTCCTAAGAGTGGAAAGGGTCTGGGTTTTAACTTCCAGCCCTGCCATTTCTGAATGACTTCCCCTCCGAGTCTTAGATATTTTGCTACTATAAGCCTCAGTTTCCTCATCTATAAAATAAGTATAATGTTTGCCCTAATGGGTCCTTGTAAAGATGAACTAAGATGAGTGTCTCATAGTCAAAAGAGTATGCATGAACTTGAGAATCCAACTGACCTGGGTTCTAGTCTCAGCCTGGCCACTCTGACTTTGGACATGTTTTCTTAACCTCTCTGTGCCTCAGGTCCCCATCTATAAATTGGACTAATACTCAAACATAGGATTATTGTGAGGAATAATGTAGTAATACGTGTGAAATGACAACTATATTCTCAATACATTTGAGCAGTTAGCATCATGTCTGGCACAAAACTAGGTATTTTACTTGCAGTTTTAGAAAGGTAGAACAGCATAGTGGTTAAGACATGGGCTCTGAGTTTAATTCCCAGCTATGCACTCACCAGCTGTGTGACCTTGGGCAAGTTACTTGGCCCCGCTGTACTTCCATTTCCCCATCTGTAAAATGGGAATAGTTACTACCTCACAGAACTATTGTAAGAATTACATGAGTTTGTATCTTAATGTATAAAGTGCTTAGATCACAACCTGGCTTTTAGTAAATTCTATGCTTGTGTTTGCTATCATTATGGCTCTTCTTTCTGAGGCTTTCCTCCAAATGGGCCATTCTCCAGATTAGGAAATTGAGGCTTAGAGAGTTAAATGTCTTTCCAAAGGCACAACAGCTGGTAAGTGGTCAACAGTGGTTGATGTTATTGTTACTCTTACATAGAAGCCTATAGTGAACCCGGGGGACCCACGTTCCTGACACTTCTCCCTCCTGCCGTCCCCTCTGCAGGTTGTCCGCAGCAGCCTGGAGGCACAGGGACTGCGTGTGCATGGTGTGCGGCTGCACGGCTCAGCTGCCAGTCACGTGCTGCACCCCGAGAATGGGCTGGGCTACAAGGACCTGGACCTAGTGTTTCGTGTGGACCTGCGCAGCGAGGCGTCCTTCCAGCTTACCAAGGAGGTGGTGCTGGCCTGCCTGCTGGATTTCCTGCCGGCCGGCGTGAACCGGGCCAAGATCACACCACTGACACTCAAGGACGCGTACGTGCAGAAGCTGGTGAAAGTGTGCACAGACACGGACCGCTGGAGCCTCATCTCGTTGTCCAACAAGAGTGGCAAGAACGTGGAGCTCAAGTTTGTAGACTCGGTCAGGCGCCAGTTTGAATTCAGCGTAGACTCCTTCCAGATCATGCTGGACTCCCTGCTGCTCTTTGGCCAGTGCTCATCCACGCCCATGTCTGAGGCCTTCCACCCAACGGTAACAGGCGAGAGCCTCTACGGGGACTTTGCGGAAGCCCTGGAGCACCTGCGGCACCGCGTCATCGCCACTCGCAGCCCGGAGGAGATCCGCGGTGGCGGCCTCCTCAAGTACTGCCACCTCCTGGTACGTGGCTTCCGGCCGCAACCCAGCACCGATGTGCGTGCCCTGCAACGCTACATGTGCTCCCGCTTCTTCATCGACTTCCCAGACCTGGTGGAGCAGCAGCGCACGCTGGAGCGCTACCTGGAGGCTCATTTCAGCGGGGCCGACTCCGCCCGCCGCTATGCCTGCCTGGTGACGCTGCACCGGGTGGTCAATGAAAGCACTGTGTGCCTCATGAGCCATGAGCGCCGCCAGACACTGGACCTCATCGCCACGATGGCGCTCCAGGCACTGGCTGAGCAGGGCCCGGCTGCCGCTGCCGCCCTGGCCTGGCGCCCTCCAGGCCCCGATGGGGTTGTACCTACCACTGTCAACTACTACGTGACCCCTATGCAGCCTCTGCTGGCCCGGGCCCACTCCTGCTACCCCACCTGGCTGCCTTGTAATTGACTCGGACCCTGGCCAAAGGGACTGAGCCTCCTCAGATGGAGCGGGGCCTCCTGGAGTGTGTGGAGGACATGACCAGAGACAGGTGGCTCAGCACTGCTGCAGGGTTGGGCTTTTGACTGAACAGACCAGACGCCCCTGAGTGAGGCCCCTGAGGGCTTAAGACCAAACTGGGGTTCTTGGCAAATGGACCCTTTGCTTATTGTACCACACTTTTAGACCTGCATGATTGTGGGGTACAGGAGCGGTTTGTCTTGGGGGTCAATTGCCTTCAGGAGATGAAACATGTTTGGGGAGGTAGCCTCAACGTCCATCATCTTGGGTTGATTTCTGTGGCCTAGAAAGGGACTTTATGGCTAGGACCAGCCTTCAGTGATCCAAGGGCCTGCAGCCTACATGGTGGCTAAAATATGGTATATTATGGGAACTAGTCATTTTGACTCGGGCTGGACCACTAACAGGGCCTGGTGGTCCAACCTGGCTAATTACTGGGAGGAGGGAAACTGAAGCATGAGGCACATACCTGGGTTTGGAGAGGGATATGCTTGGCCCAATACCTTAACACCCCTAACCCGAGCTGTTGAGTGTGGTGAGCAAGAGCCAAGTGGCCTGGGGTGGGACATAGCCCGTAACCCTTTTGGGGTATTGCTCCCTTTCCCCATTTCATGAGGAGCCCTCTTAACTGGGAGCTTATTCTTCAGAGGGTGTGGGCCCAAGGTGGCCAGTCAAGCGCTCCCACCCCACTTGCCTGGTTACAGGGTCCTCACTTGGGGGAAGAAAGCCCCACCTCTTGTTACTATTTTGCACTCTTAACACCTGCCAATAAAGATTGTTTACACTGAGCCTAGCACCATGCTTTCTCCTGGCAAAAGGACCTTCCATGGCTCTGGGGGCTGTGGCTGCCTCCCCCAGCCTGAGTCTGTCTTATATTGTGGGAGGGGACATTGTGGGGTATATGTCTGAGTCCTGGGCTGTGACTGGGGGGGATGCCCCTCCTTCCCTCAACACCAGCCCCAGTTTGACAACTGTACTAGGAGCTCACATCCCCACGTGTGACTTGCACCTGCACATTGCCTCAGCAAGTCTCTTATTAAAGAGGAAATATTTCAGTGTTTCCTACCTAGAGTCCTAATGACCCTGGACCTGGCCTCACACTCTGGTACTCAGGGCTGCCTGACCCCATCTCTGCCCGCCGTACCCACCCCTTCCCAGGAAACAGGTGGAAAATAAACTAGGTGAATCCAAACTGGAGACCCCTCCAGTAATGGCAGGGGAAACTGGGAGACTTCTAGAGTCTCCCAAAGCCAGATCCTAGGTTTGGCCTCCCTACCTGGGAGAGGCTCTCTCAACCCTCTGACTCCCTCTGTCACCCCCAAGTGCTGATGGGCACACTCTGGCTTATTCTAAGCAGATCCCCTAGAGGGGCAGGTCTCTCCTTTCCAAACCCACTTGGGGTCATGCCAGGCTGTTTGGGAGTGAATGTCAAGTTCTCTGGGAGCTATTCCCTCAGGGCATCAGTCAGTCATGGGCCTCAACGCAGCCCACTCTGTTTACCCAGCCTCTTTGATCCAGGGATTGCAAAGCTCTTAACACATTCAGCCTCATTAGTGGCCTCTGAAGTGGTGGCTTTGATGGTTTCAGCCAGGGTGGAAAAAAACAAGGCCATAGAGGAGGCCCCAGGTCACATGGGTGAATCCAGCTACTTCACCTGCTCAGTGGGTCCCTGCTGGGCTCGAAATGGTTTGAAGAGCCAGTGTAAAGGCCTTCTTTGCTTAGTGACTGAAAATAGCCTCCCCACTTTCACTCCAACCAGACCCACTCTGGGAGGGACTGAGTTTTTCCTAGCTCTTGATGTGGGCATGTTGGGGATGCTCACAGGATAAGCATACAGGCTTAGCTTGTTGGGGTAGGGAGCGGGCTTCACCTGGATGTGCTTGTTCCCGAGGGTGAGAAAGCCAGGAACGTGTGTACATGTGTATACCTGCATTCAGCCCACGGTGAGCTTGCTATCCCTCTAAGTGTTGGCAACACATCAGCAAACCAAAGACCAAGATTCCTGTCCTCATGAAGATCACATTCTAATGGGGTAGACAGGAAATAAACTATACAGTCTTAGAAGGTCAGCGGTGCTCACAAATATACGTAGCAAGGTAAGGGATTAGAATAGCTAGGGTATACCATTTTTAAAAGAAGTTGGGGGTGGACCTCATTGTAAGAGTGACACTTGATTACACAGATTTCAAGGTAGTCGAAAGCAAGCCCTATGGATGTCTGGGGGAAGAGCATCAGGGCAGAGAGAACTGGTCTGATAGTACACACATGCTCCTGGCAGGTGTGTCTGGCTGGCCTTGCGCAGGCGCATGTCCTCACCAGTGCCAATATGCAGCCTGCATGGGTGTGAGATGCAGGAGAGAGACAAGAGTTTCCAGTAACACCTACCTTTTCTGGAGTGCTTTAACTCCAGGGCAGGACGATGCTCACGTTTTCCCAATTGTTACCCTCATTTTATCCTTGCAACAACTCCACGAGATAAAAGCAAGAATTATCTCCATTTTACAGACCAGGAAACTGAAACCAGAGAGGTCGGAGGTTTGTTTGACTCCAGAGCCATTGCTATGAACCCCTGCACCGCCCTACCCCTACACTCTGATTTCCCATGGGTAAGCGTGACAGCGTGTCTCCTGTACATGTATGCAATGAGGCATGTTCGGCATTTGACAGAGTGAGTTTGCATGACAGTGACTGCCATTTTATGTATGACTGTAGCAGAGTGTAGCAGGGTGCCAAGATGTAGATTTTTCTTGACGTAAATGTGACAACAGCCATGGCTTGTGGTGACTATGTCAGAGGCCTGTGATGACAGCAGGTATGTACGCCTGTGGGTATGTTTGGGGGTGGTGCAGTGTTTCCAGGTGTGAGAAAAACACTGACTCAGTGACTGGCATTGTTCTTTCGTGGACAATTCCTGAAGCCATCCAAGATGCCAGGACAGGGAGGAATCAAGACCCGGGAATCTGAGCCAGAGAGGGGAAGGCTGAGGCAGGAAACCCCCGTTCCCCACCCCAACCCCACAGTGCTCTCCAAACAGTGGTCCACCCACCCCTTAGGACCATGGTAGGTGGGGGGGAATGCCAAAGAGGGAAGAAGCATTGCTGCAAACATTGGGGAACAGGAGATACACCCCCCCCAGGCAGTTACATGGTGTGTCGACCCCTCCAGTCCCACTCTCTGTCCTTCTCCCTGCTCTGCCCTGGGGAGGATGACTTCTAGGGACTATGCATCAATGGCTCCCTTGTTTCCTGCCTTCCTGTTGGGTTCAGCCAATGAAAGGCTACAACAGGAAATTGGAGAATGGGGTGTTTATTCCCCTGCTCCCTACCCACCAGGTTGCCATGGTTGACTACATCTCTGAATCAGCGCCCACTGCTCCTGGCCCTCTCCACACAGCTGTAGTCTCAGAGTCCTTTTGCCCTCCCCTCTCCTCCCTGCTTCAGGCCCAGGGGTTGTAAAACCTTCAGTGTTGCTGTCCCCAGAGAGCTGCACCATCCCTTGTTGGTTTCTTAAGCCCACACCTTTGGAAATAGTCCCTTTTATTTTATTTTTTGGTTTTTTTAAACTTTATTGGGGAACAGTGTGTTTTTCCAGGACCCATTAGCTCCAAGTCAAGTCGTTTTCAATTTAGTTGTGGAGGGCGCAGCTCACTGGCCCATGTGGGAATAGAACCGGCAACCCTGGTGTTATGAACCTGCGCTCTAACCACCTGAGCCAACCAGCCACCCCTGGAAATAGTCCCTTTTAAATCTCTTCCCTGTTTGAGTGCCCTATCTCCTGCTGGGACCCTGACTGACAAACAGGTCCATAGGACCACCACAGTCACACAGTCCTCCACAGATCATGCTGCTGCCATGTTATCACAAATGTGCATGACATCCCTCTGGGTCACACAGTCTCACATGTGCCTTCCCACACCCCCTTGCTTCCTCGTCACATCCTTAATCGGGGAAGACTTCCTGGAAAGGGTCAGCTTTGAGCCAGGTCAAGGGAGAAATCAGTCGGTCAATCAGTCAACAGGCCCAAGATTGCCAAACGAAACTAACCAGAAGCTGCTCAAGGAACTGCCAACTTAAAGAGCCGTGGCAGAAGCACACAAAAGAAAGAAGGCAAGGTCACTTGCAAAGTAAACTTCAAAACCACATGCATTGGTCTCACATTATTGAAATTTATTCTTCCTGAATATATGAATCAAGGGACTGACTCAATATACATCCATTTTGCCAAATCCTCCAAGTTCTGGGTTGTGGGTAAATGTGGCCCCCTTCCCCCTATTATCGGGATATTTGAATAAGTGTGATTTTCTTTTCTCATTTAAAATTTTGCTTAGAGTGTTTATGCAGCTACCACCTCTTTCTGAGAAAAGAGGTGTGGTGTGTCCCCCAGGAGCCAGAGCGGATCACCTTTCTGAGGGGCGACAGGCACCTCCCACACAGAGAGGGCAAGGACAGTGGGTAAGAGAGACAGGGATTTCCTCAGACCATTTTCCGTCGTCAAACAGGTCTCCGTGCTGTTAGACTGAGAAGCAATGACAGCTACCAAGCTGCACTGTGACTTAAGAATGATGACTATATTTTTAAAGGAAGTCCTTTTTACTTTCACATTGGAAATGTTTGCTGCACTCTTAACTAATCTGATTGCGTATCGAGGACCTGTTGTAACACTTCCAAAGGGTAAGCCAGGCAACTTCCCCAAGGTCCAGCCCCTTGTCACTGTAAAACGAAGTGCTCCTGTCAAGTGAGGAGGGCTCAAGGATGTATAGGGTCCACCGAAGAGGTCTTCCTGAAGGAGGTGCCCAGGGAAGGAGTTCAGATCCATAGAGGGGAGGCTCTAAAGAGCTGGGAGGAGCTGGAGAAAATAATTTCAAGAGCTTTAATTACCTCTTTCCCACAGCCACCCAGCCCCACCCAAACCCTTCAACATCTTCCTCCTTAAGAGGGGCCATTGTGGAGGGAAGGTGCAGGGGCAATATTATGGAGCTGGGCTCTACGGGCTCCCACCCTGGAAGGAGTGGGGGCTCCTAGAGTAAGCAGAGGTTCCCCTGGGTCTTTGTCCTTGGCTGGGATCCCCACTGGTCTGAGCAGCTGGAATGGAATGTTCCTGGAATGAAAAGTCTGAGCCCTCCTCCACCTCTCCCCTTATGGAGTTCCCCAGGGCCTGTGGTGGGAGGAGAGGGGGACTGTTCCAGGGATTCCTGATATGGCGATGCTCTGGAGAAGCAAAGGCCCACACTGCCTGGAGGCAGCCTCTCCTAGGCTAGGCAGATCAGCTCCATCACACCTTTACAGATCTCCACTAAGTGCTGGGCACTTAGTGTGACCTCTCGTTTACTACACAGAAGCTATCTTCTCCCTAGATCCCCCAAAACACACAGAAAAGAAACTGGCTCAGAGAAGGGAAGTCATTTGCCCAAAGTCTCCCAACTGAGAGGTTCCAGGCCAGGACTGAATCCCTGGTCTGTCTTGTTCCAAGCCTGAGGGTACCTTCTGCCCCACTATGGAGCCTGTCACCCTCCTCTGCCATCCCAGGCTCTGCTCTCCTTGGCACCAACTGTGCAGGGAGGAGGCAGCCCTCCAAGGCAAGCCCAGACCCTGAGCATAGTAGGCCTGCCCTTGCCTGAAGCCAGGTGTGCTGACTCAGCCTGACTCACCCCCACCAGAGTCCAGACAACCAGGCTGGGGAGCCAAACTCTGGGGGTGTGCCCAGACCTTGGGGAGGGGCACTTTCTGCTACCCCTCCAGCATCTCATCACATCCCTCTCCAGAACCAAAAATCAGGGGTCACTGAACCCAGACATAAAAGTCAGAGCCCAGAAATCCCCCCAGTGGAGCCCTCGTTCACCTGATAAGTGAAAAGCCACATAGCTTAATGTTTAAGGGATCCCCCACTTACAGGTTCTATGTCCCTGGGCAAGTTACCTGTCCTCCCTGACCCTCAGTGTCTTCATCCATGGAAATGGGGATAATAAGCCCTACTTTGCAGAATAGCTGGGAGGATTGAAACAGGTAATGGGTGTAAAAGTGCCTAGCACCATGCCTAGCACAGAGGAGGCGGTTAACCAAGGATTCCCTTCCCCCATGACTCTAGGCCAGGGAGCAGTCAGGACTTAATGGAGGAAGAACTAGGCTGGGGATCCCCCAGCCTCCCCAAATACACCCTCCCGCCCATCCCGCCTGTAAAGACCTCTCCTTCAGCTCTGAGAGGCCTGGGCCCCTGGGTTTTTCTCCAGAGCTGGCTGTCAGGGAATGGGCGCCTCCTCCAGACTGCCCACTGCAGGCTTAGAGCACCTGGGCAGAGAGACCTGTTACTTCAGCCTAATCTCTAGGAAGCCACCTTGGTCCCCAGGTGGCAGTGGGATGGGGGTGTTCTGATCAATTATCAGTGTAATAAATCTATGAGAAGTGCGTGACTCCAGGATTTTACTCAGATTGTGACCACCAACAGGAGCCACCTCTCTCTCCAGGAAAGTCTTCCCTGGTGGACCTTCCCCCAGGCCCAGACACCAGCCCAGCCAAAGGGCTTCTTTTGAGCCCCTTCTCTAAGTGACCGCCACTAACCGCTCTTCTGCCAGGCTCTTAAAGCTCAAGGCCTAAGACGCCCCAGCATTTCCAGGGAAGAGGCAGGCTGGGGGCAGGGACGCTGTGGTCCCAGCCTGCTCCAGGCCACCCCTGTGCCCAGGGAAGCAGCCCCACACTGCCCTCTGGTGGCATCATCCAGAGACATCCTCACTTGGCAGGAACTAGCCAAGACAGCAAAGCAGCTTATCCAGAGAAGGGGCAGGTCCCAGACTACAATCCTGAACAGGTTCTCCAGCCCCGGGCACTAACCTGAAGAAAGGCTCATTCCCCTCTGATAAGACCCCAGATTCACTGGTGGCCATCAATGTCCTCAATGCTCAGGTCCCTCAAGATCCCCTGTAGTCGGTCCAGTCCCCAGGCCTGGGGGCCATCATGAAAGTGTGCAGGAAGTCATGGAAGGGGAAGGTCAGTTTCCTGGCCAGGGGCTACAGTTACTTGTGAAGGCCCAAAAATAGCCCTCCAACAACACAAACTGCCCAGCCCCCAGAGGGTCCCCTGGGATGGTGACTCTCAGGGAAGGCTGCCTAGAGCAGACACCCTCTGATTCAGCTCTGCTTCTTGAGTCCCTGGACTGAGTAGACATCAATGTGTGTTGACTGAGGAGAAAACGGAGCTTCCTAGAAGGGGCCCTGGGTGGGCCAGGTGGGAAGGTGACTTTTATTAGCTGGCTGAGGGGTAGTAGGCAAAGCACTGCACCAAGAGCTGGGGTTCAAGTCACTGAGCACTGTGTGCTCTGGCCAAGGCACTCGGTGAGAAGCAGTGGAGCATCTAGAAGTAGAGGGAAGGCGACACGAGGACCAATCTCCATTTCCTACACACATACACACCACTTTCTCCAGCAAGAGCCATCTCTAATTCCTCCCCTCTACGCCCCCTCCAAATCAGGACAAAGCTGATTACCAATAAATCCCAGAGAAAGGCAAAATTGTGACGGCACCAAGCACTTTACACCATTAGCTAAAAGCTTTTCTGGACCAAGTGCCCTCTTCTGTGCAACCCAGAAAACAAAACAGTTCTGGCTGCAGCGCTGGGCTGCAGCCAATTCTCCTCATTGTGTCATCTCCAGAATGTCCTTGTCCTTGTTTGGCCTCTAGACCATAAATGACCCAAGTAGCTTTGAAAGGTTCTCTCTCTAGGGAGGCCAGAGGATGCCAGAGCCCCCCACTGCTCCCCTGGTCCCCAAGCTCCCTCAGTCTCTGAGACCTCCTCCTGGACTTCCCTTCCCCATCTAAGAATGAGTTCAGAAAGGCCTGGGTGTTAGTTGAGAAACCAGCCAAAAAGTTTGGTACCTGAGGAGAGGAAGGGCTGATAGGTCAGACGAGGCCCCTGGTGCTCTCCTTTCAGAGCAGTTCCCCTAAACCTCAGGACTGTAGGATTAAACCAGGTTCCTATGACTCTGACTCTGATGTTCTCATCCTAGCCCCTCCTCCCTACTCCCAAGCCATGACATGAGGGGGGTACAGCTATATTCAGAGGGAGACTGAGGAAACTAGCCCGAAGAGGGGCAGAGTTGTTCTAGGCCACATAGCAGGCAGGCCAGACACCAGCTCCCTCTAGCCCCTGCCCCTGGACACGGAAGAGACACTAGGAGAAGGACACACGCAGGCCTGGGACCTAGTTCTGTCCCTCGCTGGCATGTGACCTTGCTGTTCTGCAAACTGAGGACTTTAAATTAGCTCCTGGCTCCACCAACAAAAGCACTGCCTGTTTCTAGCATGATTTAAGAGAATAAAACATTCTTCCATGACTTATGGGGTAAGAAGACCTCTGCCCTGTGTTAACCACACTATAGCCCTTCAGGGAAGTAAAGATACCCACTTCACAGACTGACAAGTGAGGCTGCAGTCAACTCAGCTGGTGCGCAACAAAGCAGCAGCCAGGCCATTCACAGCTGAGTGTGGGCAGAGGAAGGGGGGCCTGAAAGACATGTGGACAGGAAAAGAAGCGGATCTCATTTTATGGCTGGCCCTTTAAGGTCCCCCATTCTAGAAGCTGATGACATACCTAACCCCTTGGGGCCTGTTAAAAGATATCACCTGGCTCCATCGCTGCAGAGCCATCTTAGAGACAGGTTTGCAGAGGGAAGGGGGCGGGGCTTAGTCGAAGCTTAGCAGGTGAGGCTTTAGGCAGTTACCAAACACTGGATATCTAAGTCTGGCTGTACTCTGAGCGAAGCTGCGAGAGGGCACAAGAAAACATTTTGTCTCCTAGAAATGGAAGGGCCTAAGTATAGGATCCAACCTCTCTGGGATCCATCTCCCCAAATGGGAAACGGGCTTAGGAGAGAACTCAGGGGGTACCCTGCTGTGCAAGCCCCCACCCCATCTTGGGACCTCATTATTCTGTCCTCCAGAAGGATTGGAACTGGGTGGTGCCGGAACACAGCAGCCTCAAGGGCAAGACTCTTCTTACAGCCCCAAGGGGCTCAAGAAAAGCAATGCAGGTGGAGGTGAGGGTGGGGTGTGCTGCGTCAGTGCAGCAGGCTCCAACTGGTAAGTTTGCTGGCAAACCCCTCCTGGGGTCTGAGCATCCTCAATTTATCCAACGTGAGGGAACTTGGTGCTACCACCTAACTCCCAGGAAGGTCTGGGAGAGGCGGAAACAGAAAGTGGACAGCTTTATTAGGGACCCAGGGGACTCCAAAAGCCCCAACAAAGGGAGATTCGGGACCCTGCAACACCCCGCCCCGCCCCTCGGACGCACCAGCCGCTAAGACCGCACCTCAGCCTCCTTTACTGGTCCCCCGGCCCCCCGACTGTCTCCTCCTGTGGTCGGTCAGTCCATCCATCCACGTTAGTGACACCGTCCATCCAGCTGGCGTCCGCAATCCTTCAGTCGGCACCTCTGCGATGGCCTGTGGGGGGCACCCGGGGGTCCTGGCGCTGAGGTCAGCGCTGGGGGGAGGCGGGGCCGCGGGGCGGGCTTCGGCGGAAGGGCGAGTCGGGCTCCGGGCCGTGGCCCCGCCGAAGGCGTCCGGTGCCCCAGGGCACGCAGCTACCCAGACCCAGCGCCGAGGCCAGTAGCGCCGGCGGGCGGCCGCGACGGCCGCGGCGCGAGCCCTTCTTGAGGCGCGACCCGTGCGCCGCCAGGTAGAGCTCGGCCTGCGCCACGCCACCGCCCAGGCGGCCCAGGCTCTCGGCGCGGTGCGCCAGGCGCAGCTCCGCCGCCAGAAAGACCCGGTGCAGCTGCAGCACGCGGCTCTCCAACTCCGACACCAGGCGCCGGCGGCCCTCCACCTCCAGCAGTCGCCGCCGCGCTTCGGCCAGCTCCAACGCGCGGCCCCCTGTTCCCTCAGCCGCCGCGCTTGGGCCGCCGCCCGCGCCCCCTGCCGGCCTGGTGCCCCCCGGACCCTCGTTAGCACCCTGGCGCCAGCGCTGCAGCTCTTGCCCCTCCGCCGAGCCCGCGGATGCTGGGGCCGCATCTGGCAGCGGCGAGGCCTGAGGTGGGGTCTGGGTCCGGGTCAAGGTCGGAGTTGGGGGCGGGGGCTGAAGGGACAGCAGGGGCCCCCGGGGCGGCGGCGGCGGGGACCCTGGTTCTGCCGCCCCTTCCTGGGTCCCCGGGCCGCAGGCGCTAATGCGGCAGCCCGGCATCCCCCGCCCCCCAGCGGTCTGCAGCGGTGGGTCCGCGGGTCTGGCCGGCTGCCCCCGCGCGAGGGAGGATGGACAACCACCACCAGAAAGATGCGGCCGCAGCCCCCGCAACAGCGCAGCACCAGCTGCCAGTGCGTCTTATAGAACACGGGGCGGAGCGATGGACAGCACAGCCAATCAAAGGCTGGCATGCCCTGAACCCGCCTCTCCTGCCCGCCCGGTTCACAACATTGCTCAGACCCTTCAGGTCCTTAGATCTGCTCTGCTATGCTAGGGCATTCGGTCCCCATCCACCTCCCCCCGAAAAAAGAGGACTGCATCTTCTCTGGTCTGGGCCCTGAGTCATAAGCTCTGGTAGCTGATGCTTAGAAATCATTCGCTACAGTCTCCACCTGGGGGAGGGTTTTGTCTGAGGCCACACTATGTGACATCAGGCTGGAGGTTTGACTCCTTGCACAGGGCTCCTTCTAGTACCACACGCTGCCCCTCGGTCGAATCGGTTCTTCCTGGTTTCCTGGGCCACAAGTCTCACCAGGACCCCCTTCTCCAATCTCCCTGGGACAATGGAGGGGTTAAAACAGAGGAGTGACTGGCGTCCCGGTGGGGATCTGGCCGGGTTGGTTCGCCACCAGGCAGGCCCTTCACGTGCAAAACAAATCACAGCGCTGCTGCTGAGCCTGGCGCGGCTTGGGCAAACCTTGATGGCCACCCGAAGGAGCCCCAGGCCCCACGGTGTGCAAAATTCTTCCCATGACTCGGCTTCCGTTGTTCCTCCCAGTAGATGTCTCCACACCTTTACACGGAGGGGAAACAGCCCCAGAAGGTGCAGCGGTGCCTTCCCCAAGGTCACATTGCAGGTGGGTTGCTGAATCTGAGCCACTGGATTGGACCAGCTCAGTCATTTATGCCTTCTGGGTACTCAGATAGCTAGGTCTCCTCACTGTCATTGGGGGACCCTCCTTAACTGGGACCTTAAGTCATCCTGGCAAAATGATTGAACGGAGCCCAGCAGAAATGACCCTGGCATACCCCTTCCAAACACTGGCCCGGATGCCATGGCCCTGCCTGTTTCCATCTGCCTAAAGGTGCCATCAGAGATGGGAGGTCTCTGTGGTGGGCCTGGCAGAGGCTGAAGGGCCAGAAACCAGCTCTGACGCATTGGGAATTGCTGCCCACTGACCCTGGGCTCAGGGCGATTGCCAAAAGTGTGGCCAGTGTGGTTACTGCCTCAGTCTGAAGAGGAGGTGGATGTGGGAGCTGCACTGGCTTGATGTGGAGGAGGAGGACAAGGATGGAGCCTCCTCCACCCCCTCCCCCATTGTCTGTAAGTGCTTTCAGGTGCCTAGGATCCAGTGAGTGGGACTCGTGGGAGTGGGCGAGACAGCTAGGCTCAGAGAGGAGGGAGAGGTCCATGAGGGGGTGCCAGGCTAGGTGAAGAGGAAGGGAGGAGGACTTAGGAGGGTGTTCAGTGACCAGGAGTAGTGGAGGTTCAGTGGAGGAGGAGAGGGACTCGGTGAGGGCAAGAAGAGGGGTTCAGTGAATGTGATGGGCTCATGGGAGCAGGGGTTAGAGCTAGAGGAGGCTCATAGAGGGAGAAGCAGAAGGGAAATTCAGTGAGGGGAATAGGGCCTCAGGGAATCAGAGACTCCGTGGGGATGACTGAGGCTCAGGAGTTACCAAGTTGCCGCCAGCAAGGAGGAATGCCCTGCTGAATGGTGTCATCCCTTTGAATGTTCTCCTTTATGTCATCAAACCTCGTGTCTTTTCTCTGTGCAGAAGACCCCCTCCCCATTGAACTGTAGGGAGATTGACAGGTGTTTTGTCTGTATCAGGCATATCACTGCTCCCACCTTCTGCGAGATGAATGAGGCAGACAAAACTAAGACTTACTCCTAACCTCCCGAATCCCCGCCCCACCATCAGCCAGATCCAGAGAACTAGCCAGATCTGAGTTCAAATCCCACACATGGCTCATCTGAGTGACCTTGGGAAAGTCCTTTCTTTGAGTAGGAAGAGACACTCAACCTATATTTACTGAATGATCAAATATTTCAAATATTCTCTATCTCCTCACAGTATCCCTAAGAAAGGGGCATCAGTAGCCTTTTCTTCCTGATGAGAAACCAAAGCCCAGAGAAGTGAAGAGACTTGCTCAAGGTCACACAGCAGATAAGTGGCCAAGCAAGGTTTCAAACACAGATCTGACTCACCCCCCAAAGTCATAGCTCACCTCCCTGTTATTCTTTGATATGTCCCCTCTTCCCATCCTCCATGACATTTTCCACAAGTTATATATGAATTTGTTTATTGTTTAGTTATTTAATAGTCTCTCCCCCTGGACTGGTTTTGCTTATCATTAGACTCCCCTGAAATTAAGTAGAATTCCTGACCACCACTCCCCCATAAAGCACCCAATAAACATTTGTCTGAATTGATAAATAATGCAAGGGTAGATAGAGCTTGTTGAGAATAGAGATGTCCCCGTCTTCATTTATTCAATTATTTATTCATTCTTTATTTCACTTATTTGACAAATTTGACCATTACCTTCTCTGTTGGGCTGGCTGCTGAAGGTATTTCGATGATCAGATGAGACCCTACCCTCAGGGAGCACACAGTCTAGGGGACATGTGATGGCAGTTCAGTGAGGTATCTCCGGAGAACACAGAGCAGATACTGAGCCCAGCTGGATGAGGAGGGGATCAGAGAGAGCTCCCTGCAGATATTTAAACTGCGACCTAAAGGATGAACCGAGGTGAGTGATGCAAAGATGGGGAGGGGATGGGAAGGGAGAAGGATTCAGGACTGGAACATCCTGTGCACAGGACCAGAGGTGAGAGCTTCGGCATCAGCCAGCTTCCTTCCCAGCTTCCTCAATCACCCTGGGCTCCGCACTCCCAAGTGTGGACAGGAGCCACAGCCAACCACCTCTTAGAGCACAGCCAGCCTGGCGAACACATCATTTGGAA